TAGGAGGTTAATAAACTTTGTCACCAAGATGAGACATTGTGGCAAAAGCCAAGGAGGACCCTAAGATTTATTAGTGTCTTTACACACAACTCTAAATAAAAGGAACTTGTTCTTAATGACAAAGCTGACTTAAGTATTCAAAAGTTTTTAATGGATTTGATAATGCCAGAAAAGATAAACTGCCTACAGTTCAAAAACCAAGGCACACAATCTAAATTGAAAAGAGGGGGAGAGGAAGAGGGAAAGAAAGAAGAAAACGATAGAGCTAGTTTACCAAACATGAGATAATGGAGTAAAGGGTAAACCCACTTCAGTCTCAAAGAACTATCTATACTCAACATGTTTTGTATTCAAACAGTTACAAAGATAAAATGAGATCAAATGGGCAATATTCTTTAAAAAAAGCTCTATCAGAAATTATCATTTTTAGAAGGGAGGAATATTAGAATAAATCTGGGGCATGTATCTGAGCTAATTTTAAGAGGGCCAGTTTACTGAGGACTCAAGGTATAGTGCATGCTGCTTCTCTCTCCTTTCTTTCAGTTATTTTAATTCTCAGCTCTGTGCTCTCATACTTATTTGAATCACACTATTGTCTGCTCTTTGCCCACCATATCAATTTTAAACGTCTCTCCTTCTTGCCTTCAAAGTCTTGTACGACTTCATCAGGGCTTCCCACTATGTTTTAGATTCTTTTGATGCCTATCTTCACCCCCCTTAACCTCATAATCAATGCTGGCTTTAACATATCCTAGAGTTGTTTCCTACTCCCAAATCTGGACTTTCTTTGATGCCTAGAGTAACGAGGGTGCCAGAAGAGCCTCTTCGTCTTCAAAGCTCCCTTGAGCACCCATTTCTTCCAGAAGGAAATGGAATTTTGGAAAAATAAATCCAAAACAAACATAAAAACCCAAAGCTGAGGTTTTCCTTTACCTGGCTCTCCAAATGTGTAAATCTTATACAACATTTAATGAATAATAAATAATCTGGAAAGTTCCCTAGCAAACTATAGCAATATCATTTTTATTTTAGCTGCTCAAGTTCAGTAATGATGAGTATTTGATTTGGATACAGGACCTAGCAACATAAAGGTTACTTCGGAGAGAGACTGCAGATATACCTTGCTGCTTTAGCCTTCCCTTTGCTGAAGAGGGCTTGTACAGGCTCAGAGCAGGGAAGGTTCATGAAGAAATCAGGACTTCTCATTCACCTGCACTATATTTGCATTAAAATTCTGCTTTCAAACATACACAAAATCTTAAGTAAACTCACTCCAAACCACCCCAAACCATCCAAACTACTGGTCAGAAGGAAAACAGTTATCTTGAAACCTAACCAATGTGTATTTGAAAGTTGACTTTTAGGCCTCTTACAAAATATTTCAGAAACACTGGAGTGGGACACAGCTTTCTGTTATAACCAATTTTTGCCTAGTGTATGCTTTTGTTACAAACCTTTCACCCAACTCCTAGTTACTTCAAGTGAGGAAGCTTGCAGCCTTGTAGAAGAAACCAGCAGTTCACAGGATCAGGTGCTGGTGTGAACTTAGCTCTTGTGAAGGCAAATTATATTTCCCTTCCCCCCCCCCCACTCCAATTACTGACTGCTGTTGAAGAAAATCAAACGAAAAGCTTTTAGGGCCAAACTCTGCCCTGGTACAAGCAGGCACAGTTCCATTGTCTGTGGTGGAATTGGGCCTGCTTACACCACCTTTACATCTGGCCTATAACTGTCTTCCAACTACAGATGGTGCATTTACCAATCAGCTATTTCATGAATGCTACTTAAAACACACACCCACCAGCAAGAATGAAAAAAAATGCAACTGTAAGCAATGCTCAGACAGGCCAGACCTGTCACACAGTTTCAGTAACAAGCAGTCACAGCAATGACCATAAGAGTCTCAGATCATTAAGCAATGTCTCCCTGTGATGTCATGCACTGATGTACAGAGTTGTAATCCTTTCAAAATGGACAGATTTTTCAGTGCGATAAAGTGGATACAGACAAGCTACTGAGCAGGAATGACTAAAGCTTAGGAAAAACGTATTGGCTTGAAAAAAGATGGAAAAGGGGTCCTAGGAACATCACTGGGTAGTAACAGCATGGCTAGAATAGACAAAAGGTTAGTAAACAATGTTCTCTGCACCTTGAAATCTTTAGACACAGATTGGAACAGCCACGATATCATGATGGAACCTGCTGCTGAGA